GAGACAGGAAGTACAGAGGAGACACCATGAGGGAGAGATTGTGAGAATGACAATATGAAGTGGATATCTGTAATGACTTTGTTCCTAACCTTGAGTTGAATCTGTTGCTTTGCAGTTTGTTGCTTTTGTTTTTCTTCCATCCTTTTTTTAACTATCTAATTAAAAACCAATTGGACAAGTTAACTTGTTTACAAAGCTGCTCTGTGTTGTGACCTGTTGTGGTTTACTTCCTTCCATTTGTCTCTCTAAAATTAGTAAAGAAGTGCTGACCATAAAGAAGCCTGCAATTATCCTTTTAACTGATGAACTAAACATTCCCCCCACCAAAAACAAACAAAAATGTATTAAAAAGGTATACCAGCTTTCTTTTTCTTGATGAAAGCAAGCCATGGCAAAACATTGTTTAGCTTTCATCAGTGTATTTTTAAATAGCAGTTAGAAAAAAACTCTTAAGCACTAGCCAGAATCATATGGATCATTTACACAAGTGTAAGTGAAATGGTGTAAGTTTGGTTTGTACTCCTCATCTTCCAACTCATGAAACTGTTGTATGATGAGGAATATAAATAGTAACTCATTATGTAGCAGTAATTCACAGCTTTAAATTATCCCATTGTCATTACACCAATATAAAAAACTAATAAGATTCTGGCCATTTATTTCTTTGTTTAAGCTCAGGGTCCTCACTTTCTATAAATCTCAAGGAGGGATATGTAGCTCTCTCTCTTGTGCTTTCTCCTAATGACTTGGTGAGTCTCATAGCTGGAAAGGCTATGAACCCTGTCTCTTCAATCATGGCCAAGTACTTTCAACCACCTAACCACAATACTCCTTATTTAGCTATTGCTTGCTTGAAAGGCCAGTGTGAGTACAGAGAGGCTATGAGGTGACACAACAATATTCAGAGGACTGGTGGCACCTCGTTCTACAAAGCTCCTTCTGATTGCTTATAGGAAAATGTCTTCTGCAAGTAGGCTAGTGGACATGTCTAATTTTCCTGCACAATTTAGAGTTCTGCACAGTCAGCTGACATAAATACAGCACGCTCCACACTGATTCCAGAGCTGGGGAAAATTACTGGTTTGCGACTTGACCTCCCAAAGTGCTTAAGCCAGCATGGTCCAGTGTAGTTTATATATATATATATATTTCCGTATGATCTTGTGTAGACATTCACCCTGATTCCATAGGTGGCTGGGATGATGCCTCCCACCCCTATGCCAATGTAGTTAACACTTTGGAGCCATTTTGCACTTGGGTTGCACCTTCTTGTGAGCAGTGACTATGCAGGGCTAATGAGCCTCTGACTATTATTGCTTCCAACAACGTTCCAGAACAGCGTCAGAGAGTTTATTTTACAGTGTGTAAAAATTCAACTGAGGCAATTATTTGCTTATCATTGTGTACCCTTGTTATTCTGTGGGGCTGTCTATGAATGGTCATCAACAGTGACTCTTTTTTTCCGGCAAACACAGCAGATTTTTGTGTACATTAAGTTTTATCCCTTGATCTCTTGGCCAAAAGATAAAGATCGTTTTTTTGTCTTTGGAGTAGCAAAAAGCTCATCATTGTTTACTTTCTCCCACGAGTTGTCCCAAGCTTTTTGCTACTGCGTGAGAAAGAACAGTGCTCCAACTGATGATATTGTTGAGAAGAAGGAGAAAGAAAAACCCTTTCCCATCCTGATACCTATATTGGCCATGTATATAAACTGACAAATTCAGATTCTGTACGGACTGTTTTTTTTTTTTTGGTCTTTTTCTTAAAAATTTTTATTTTTGGATTTTTTACTTTTTTAAAAAAAATGGAGAGCCTGTTCTGGGTGAGTACATACTGTACACCGCATTTACTGTACTTTTCTGTACTGTACTGTACTGTACAGGGTTTTTTTGCAGCTTGGTGGGGGGGCTATGGCTAGGTGGGGGTTATGTTTCTGTGCTCTGATGGGTCTTGCAGTGTGGATTTAAAATGTGAAAAGTAGACTATAATATTAAATTAAAATTAAATGTAAAAATTTATTTATTTATTTTTGCATTCTGTGGCTTCTAGGGTTTGTGTACTGTGACCCCTCTTTAGTTTTAAAATGTGTGTTTAAAATGTGGCAAAGTCTGTTTTAAAATCAGAAAATATTCTGTGAGGGACAGTCTGGCTGGCTTGCTCTAGAGTTTAGACTCAAGTCTCCCCTCCCCCATTGTCTTCTCTCTCTCTCTCTCCCTCTCTCTCTGCTCTCTCTGCTCTCTTTTTGTGATGAGGAGTTCTGTACTGGAATAATGGTTGCTGTATTCTGTGGCTTCTAGGGTTTGTGTACTGTGACCCCTCTTTAGTTTTAAAATGTGTGTTTAAAATGTGGCAAAGTCTGTTTTAAAATCAGAAAATATTCTGTGAGGGACTGGCTGGCTGGTTTGCTCTAAAGTGGAATTTAGACTCAAGTCTCTTCCCTCCCCCCATTGTCTTCTCTCTCTCTTCTGTATTTGATTTTCAGCTGAGCTAGAGATAAACACATGGAAGTGTACTTCTGTGTATATATGGCCCTACATGGATTTGGGTGTTTAGATACTTCCTAAACATTCAAAGGGTGGTGGGCAATGTTTCCTCAGAGCTGTGCAGGTGCTCAGTTGCACAGCACTGTATTGGTTGCCTGTGAAGGAAGAACTGGAAATGCGCCGTCCTCAGCGATGAGAGAAGCGACAGAGGAGAGTGGGTGTAGAGAGGGAATATTGGTGGAGATAGAGCAGGCGGAGCCGATCGCGACAAAACCAGAGGAGGTGTGCCTGGTGGATGAAGAGGGGGAGGAGCTAGATCTTATCTTGTGGGAAGAGATAAAAGGGACAGATAGCGCACACGTTTTCAACCTTTGGACGGATGTCAACCCAGAGAGGACCAGAGACCGGGGGGTCCAGACAAAGCCCATGCTCGGGACCGGAGCCTCACCACAACTCGCAGGAGGTTTCCCCAACCTAGCGACCGGAGGAGGTTTGCTTCCTGACCCCATTGTGCCGGGGGTGCGGGGGAAGTGGATAGAACCACTGGAATGGACTGTGTCAGTATATCCCCGTAACCTACCTGGTGGGGGACGGAGAGTGATTCGGCCCGGTCCCGAATTCCAGAAGAAACCTCCTGAGGGAGACTGGGCAAGACACCCATGTTGTGGCACGGTGTGTGCAGTGAGGAGTGCCCCCCTCCGTCCCATGACGGATCGGGAGAAGTTTGGGCCGGCACCCTTTTAGGTCAGGCTACTGGAGTGTGGGGTACAAAACCCAAACGTTATCATTTGTTGAATGCTAGTTATTTACAGGACCCGTTTGATCCTGTGGAATTAAGTTGTGTGACTAATAAACTTGTTGATGTTGAAACTGACGAAGAGCCTCGTCTCTTTCCCGCCTTTACGACGATGGCTCCCCCGGGCCCAGAAGAACTCTGTTACATCTTTCCCGCCTTTACGACGATGGCTCCCCAGGGCCCAGAAGAACTCCGTTACACTTGGTTTAAAAGGTGCTTGGTTTGGGTTAAAAGGTGTTCTGTTTAAAATATGTTCCCTCCCCCTTCCTTTCCTGCCCCCCTTTTTTTAACCTAAGTTCATCTTAGGTTAAAAGAAGAAAAATTCTCTCCCTAGTTGTAGAGTACGGATTAACCGGCTTTGCCAAATATGAACTTCAACATACAAACGGCACCTCGACATAAGAACCAAAAACAGCCAGAATGGATTAATTGGTTTTCAATACATTCCTATGGGAAATTTTGCTTCAACTTATGAAAATTTTGAGTTGTGGCCACCATTCCAATATGGATTAATTTTGTAAGTCGAGGCACCACTGTATGTCCATTTCTGTGGTTTCAAGGATTTTATCTATCACTTCATCTAGTTGTGGTGTTCTAGGTTCCTTCCAGTGTTTCGCAAAAAAATATTCTTGCTGCTGTTGTAATACGAATAGTTAAATATGATTTTTCAGAGTCTAGTATATCTGGCAAGATATTTAATAAGAATAGTTCTGGTACCATAGGTATTGAAGTTTCTAATATCTCTTGTAGCATCTGATTCACTTTACTCCAGTATCTTTGGGCGTCTTTGCACCTCTACCACATGTGATAAAATGTTTGTTCTTTCTGTTTACATTTCCAACGTATATTTGAAATCTGGGTGCTTATTTTAGCCAGTGTTGTGGGGGTCATGTACCATCTGTAGAACATTCTCTTAATTAAATTTTTTATTTTATGTTTAAAAGTTCTGTGGTTCATACCTGTATCAATACAACAGCAGCAGACTGCTTGTCTTTCATGGTAAAAGTTCCTGATATCTCAGCAAATTCCTTCTTCTCTGGTGGTGTTATATTCCAGGAAACTGTGAGCTCTCCAAAAATTCCTGGACCACGTACGATCCTGCAGACAACAGCAGGCACATGATCACTTTCCCAGCTTGACTGAATTAATCTTCCCTCAAATACCTTTAAGTACAAATGCTGCAGTCACTCTTAGAGAGAACGGCCTTCTGAAAAAAGGCTGCAGCAAAATGTTGGTTCTGCAGTTGGGAAAACAACGTACTGGAGCAGGAATATTTTGATCCTTTTCATTTATATGATTTAATTCAAACCATAGTGTCTTATAGGAGAACAAACAGCCTGTGTAGTCTGAGGCAAGCTACACAGTCCCAGGGCATCCCCAGAATAGGAGAATGCTAAATCACATTGAAATACTCTATACTTTTAAAAAACTGGGAAGAGTCACCATAAGTCAGAATGGACTTGCTACCACATGACTAATAAATTATGGATGGGCAGACAAAATCTGATTTGTAGTTGCCAAATATGAACTGTTTGGTATCCTAAGGGTGCTTCCACATGACAGCTTCACCAACAAAAGTAACTGAACACGTCTGAAGCAAAACTTAAAAAAAAAGCACCAGTTATCATACACAAAAAGTTGCACTCCATTCATAAAACAGAGTTCTCAATTGGGCAATGCTTTTGCTGGATCACTAAAAAGGTACCAATAGGGTGATTTTCCAAATTCCAGATTGTAAATGAGAGACAAAGTTTCCGGATATAAAAAAATAGAAACAAGCTCTTTATTCTGTATTTCAAGAGCTTGTTTCTACTTTTTACATACTGAGACTTTGTGTGATGCCAACCCTAAATTATGCATTATTCATAAGTGGTATGCTAATGTGGTTGTGAGGCGGGGCCAAGGGTGTGGTGAAGAGGCAGAGTCTGGGAGAGAGCTTAGTTTGGTCAGAGACAGAGAAGAGAAAAAACAGTTTCTGCTTAAAAGTCAGTACTGGATGGACTTTAGTCTTTCATAAGAAATGTAAGTTGATAAAGAGATCAACTGGCGGCAGCGAGGAAAAGGGCGTGTTGAGATACCTTCGTGAGCTCTGTGTTTGGTGAAACAAGCAAGGGCCACACTTTGTGTCTCATTTATAATGTGGACTTTTGTGGATGTACCAGTTCCTTTTGTTTTGATTTTCCAAATTTCCCAGAACTCTTCACCAAGCAAAGATGGTCTAAAATTTCTTCAAAAATTTTTGGATAAAAAAGTTTGAAAATTGCATGAGGCGTGATGGCCATAGCTGATAAAATCAGACAGTGAAGAAGATAAAAGGGAGGTTGGGATTTGCCTTGAGACAGCAGTGACAAAGTATCAATTTGTACACGCTGAATGTGGAGATGCAGAGGGAAATGTTGGGCATACAGATTTACACCAAGATCATCTCTGCCTTGTGTGGAATCTGAGACCCGACTTCATGAACCATGGGCATCACATCTCGCCCAATTCTAAGACTTTCTGCTTGTGACCTGTGTTTTTAATCCTCTTTACCTGCTGAAGAGTTCTGGAGAACAGAATCATTCATACAAAAAGTTAGTTTATTTGTAGCTTTTCCCTGATACAATAAAAGGTATTGCCCAACTTAGAAAGTTAACTTATTGCAAACATTTCATGCTACCATTGTTAATTTTTTTGTCTAAGTTGCTGTTCCTTCTGTGTGGATTCTGTGCATTTGATCTAGAAGTATTGTATACAGAGATCAGCATACTGTGCATTTGATCTAGAAGTATTGTATACTGTACAGAGATCAGCATGCTTCACACATACTATGCAGGTTATGCATTACGAACACGATCACTGGTGAAAATCAGCACTTGGAAGAACTCTGAAATGTCCCAAGCTAATTGAAAACTGAAATGGAGACTCCTCCTATTTTGCTTTCCCAGGTGGTGGGGAGCCTTACCTTCTGTACAGAAACTCAAAAGTTTGAAGGAAAATCTACGTGGTGCTTCCCCCCCCCCGTGTATGTGTGCATCCACAAACGTGCAGATTTACTTCATGAGCAAATAATGTTAATTTCCAATATGATAAATGGAATGCACCAGAATTATTCATCATCCCTACGATAGGTCACAATAATATAATGAAAACAGTATTCTTACTAATTTAGATCATTCTCTGACAAATACAACTCGTCAAGCAAATGTTATAACTTTTAAAAGTCAAGTTTTTCTTTTAAAAAAGATTAAAACAGAACAGATTAACAAAAGAATTTTACAACAAAGGGAGGCAATCTAGTGATATGTTGTTGTTTAGTTGTTAAGTCATGTCTGACTCTTCGTGACCCCATGGACCAGAGCAGGCCAGGCCCTCCTGTCTAGCGATATACCTACCCAATAAAAGCAGTCCCGTTATACTTTCCTATTGGTTCTCCAATCAGAACATGGGTGGATGAAGGTGCTATTCCAACAATACCAGAAGCTCCCTGATCTCCTAATATCATGATGGTTGCCATACCTGTGGGTACACAAAGTTTGCTGAATGAGAAGTTTGTTTATATAGCTGATAAATCTTCAACCTCTTTTTGAATTAAAATCAAGACCCCCTCTCACTGTGCCTCCTTGACAGGGGCTGGACTCAATGTTCCATTGGGTCTCTTCCAACTTTGCAATTCTAAGATGATTATGATGATTATGACTAAGTATACGTACTGAGGAAAGGGGGAAGGGGAATTACTTGCTATAGCATCATGACACAACTTTCTTATTGCATTGCTTAGTATTAGGGCATCCTGCTTCAGAAAATATGTACCTCAGTAGCTTACCGTAGGTGAACACAAGTGTTCCTGTCTGACATTACACTATAAAGCAACACTTCTACTGTCATTTGTTCCATAAACTGTATTTTACATTTCATCAAATGTGTATTAATTAGCAAGAATCGAGGCATTTGGTGCTCAGCAATATGCTAAGTCTGTCATCTTGCTTGTAAAACAAGCATTCTATTGATCACTGAGATTTCAGGATGATTCATATGCATATCCAAGGACACAATTATATGTTTCAACTCTGAGGGGGTCAGCCCAGCTCATACCTGTTTTCAAGGGAGTCAGGAAAGATGGAAAGCAATGGATAGCACACAAAGCGATTTCTCCCTTTAACAGTTGGATACTAGAATGAAAGCTGGTGTGAATATTCTTGACAATATTTTGCATTTCCTATTCAAAAACTAGTTTCACTACCACAATTTAAAAATCCTCACAAAAGCTATGCTGTAGTAGTCCGTAAAATTCATGTAGGAAAGACTGGGAGACTAACCACATGTTGCAAGAGTCAAAAACAACACAAGGCAGTCTTTTACGATTAAATTATGTGAGCAAAGTTGTGGGTCTTCAAAAAAAAAATTTTCACTTCATTCCCTATAGGCTCCCAGATTTAACCTAACAGTATGTAGTAAGACTGTCAGAAAAGTAAAAGAGGGTCTTCCCTCTAATTCCAGCCCTGATTATGCACACTGCCTCAAATGGAAATTCAGCGTGTAGGTTTACCATTTATTGGAGAGATTTCTGTGTTATCCATAGACACAAGCTGAACTGTGTAAGTTTCATCACCTTCCAATAGACCATCTTGAATTGCATGCAGAACTATAGTTTTCTGGGATTCCATCTATATTAGAAAAGAATAGACATCAGAACTGTAATTTGCTATACTGAGAGAGAAAAACTTATCAAAAAATTAATTTCTGCAATAAGCTATGTATTCTCATTAATAGTAGTTCATGATCAGAACAAGTGCCTGTTTGACAGAGGAGCCAGATGCCTTTCCTTATTTGTATCAGAGCGTTGCACAGTTTAAAATATAAATATAAATAAAACTCAAACAAATTAAAATAGTAGAATGATTAAACTATTTTTTACCAATAGCTTTATTTCAGACATTAACTAGATCTTCTTTTCTACATGTATCAGGGCATAAATTGCATGTACATCAATGCTGCACTGATTGAATTTCTCCATCTTCACAGAAAATTTGTCCTACATCTCAGTAGCCCCATTTTACTTGGTTATTGGTTGATAGTGATTTCCAGATGGTCCAGCCAAAATCTTTTCCTGGCAGAAGACACTCTTCAACATTCATCCATTCAGCAAGGTGTGTTGTTTTCGCTCTCCATAGATTTAGCCTATCCTCTTCTGGTTTAATATTTAGAGCTTGAGAGGTTTGCAGAAAACATTTCCTCAATTCTTGTCATTGTCTGGGGGGGTTGGTGTTCACAAAATGAGTTTGGTGCTGTGTTATCTTATGGTGTTTGTTATTTGTTAGCACCTCTCAACATACTTACAGAAGGATAATGCCAACCAAACAATAGACTTTTACAGTGGGGGTAGGTTTCAGCCAATCAGTAATAATCCCGCATGATTCATTAAGAGTTTGTTTGGCATGAACAAGCCAGCTGAGAGGCCAAATCTTTCTTTACAGAATAGAAGGGACTAAAGAGTGAGCTTTTCACTATAAAATTATTACTATTTACATCAAATAAGTAATTATTTAAATTAGTAAACCAAATTAAATAATTAAATACATAAGCATTGAGTTGATAACAATAGTAAATTTTTTTAGAGCTGGCCAAACCTTCACATTCAAACTTTACATTCTGTCAAGAAACATTTAGCCTCTCAGTTCATTACTTCTTCAAGCAAAAGCTGCTGAATTATGCAGCTAGGAAATGGATGCCTGACCTGAAAGGAAACAAAAAAAGGATGGCTCAGGAACAAAAGTTGGCAAGCCTTCACTGGAAGCATTAAAGGCAGACCAGTCTCATCACTGCATAGCTGGTCTTTAAGGAATATTCATACAGTATTTACATTTGGCATCAGCTAAACCGTGCAAATACATAGCATTAAGCTCAAACAACACAACAAGTGGTCTCTATCAGGGCAACTCTTGTAACATTCAAGGACATTTACTCATGTTGAAGACTAAACACAGAAGGACACTTTTTTTCCTTCCTTCCATAAAATCAGTCAGACTGATAAATAGACGCAAAAATGTGAAAGGAAAAAGTAAATGCCGTAGCTGTACCTCAGCAAACAGAAGAGTCCCATTGAGAGGAGTGAGATCATATTTAGCTGCCTCCTCAAGAATCCAGAGAATGCGGACTTCTCCCTGACCTCCTTGACTTCGACTTACAGTAAGGAAGGCATTTGCAGTAGGGTCACCAATTAATTGGGGTTCCTTTACTCTTACCTAGAAAAAAAAGTGAAAAGTGTTAGGGGCAGTTTGAAAGGATGCAAGTGTAAATGTTATTAAAGTAGGATTTAAAAATAGGTGCTGGTGGGGGACAGCCACGTTTCCTCAACATGTAATCAGTGCTTTCAAAGAGAGAGCTTTGATCACCCTTCTAGTTTTGACTACCGTTCCTAATCCTGGATTCGATCCATCAGAACAGTCCAATGAGTTAGATGTTCAGTTTTACTGTCAGGAACTGCATCAAGCAGATGCTCACTACTTCTATTTTACATCAGTCTCACTGGATTAACATCCCTTCTCTCTACATGCAAACTACATGTTTCCTGCTTCCTTTAGGGTTTCTTTTTTAAAATTCTGAAGTAGGAAACACACAACATTACCTTTTAGTTAACAGACATCAGTAGCAATATCAAAACTTTGTGAAAGTCACTAACTCTTTCTAAAAATGCTTTTCACATCTGAAAATAGCAACTACATTTATAATACAATAAATTTTAAATAAATAAATAAACTGCATCCCCCCCCAAAAAAATATAAAGCACCTCATTCAGTCATTATGTAACAATGACTTTTTCACATGGACATAACATGCTGTCCTTCCTATGTCTTAGCAACCATAGATTTGAAGATGATCTGAACCATTATTGTCTTAATATCCTGCCTATGGTATTAAATCAGCTATTATGTGCCTCTCAAGCTATGTGCACAAAATTACTATATAAAAGAAGAGGCAAATCAAATAATTAATCAGGCACTGGATTGAAATAAGAGTAAATAGAAGTCAGAGAAACCACTGTGAAGCCCAGTTTAATGAAAAAACAATTTGACAAATTCATCTATTTAACCCTCACCCCAAAAAAACCTTCTCTTTGCAGATTAATCTCACTCAGAGATCCTACCTAAGAAAAAATGAAATGATTTTAAGTTGCTTCTAAGAGCGGACAAATTTGCTATTAGCTCTTCTTGTTACCCTTGGCCTGGAAGCAACCCTAATTAGTAAAAAGACTGAGACCTTCAGGTGAAATTTACATTGTAGTAACACGGATGCTGTGCTAACTAACTATAGCAGCCATGTGTCAAGGCCTCCTCCTCAAACAACATCTGCTAAAACTTGCCCGTGGCCTAACATCATCCTTTGGACCTACCTGATCCCAATCTATATTAGTATTGACAGGGTTAAGACAATCATACAACAGCAAGACATCAGAACTTATCTTGTAGGTCATGCCCCACATGCTGCAAGATGGGAACTGGAAAAACTCAGGCTTCCATAGGTTAGGGCAACAGGTAGGTTTTCTTTCAGGGTGTTCATATTGTTTAAAAAGGGAGTGGGTTGGCATATTTGTTCTGGGCCTATCAGAACAGCAAACAGGTTCAAACAGGTGCTGGGCAAGTGAGCGGCTGCCAAGAAAGAGACTCTACTGGGGAATGTACTTTTTATCTTCTTTTATTGTACGTGTATGCATGCGTGTGTGTGTGTGTGTGTGTGTGTCTGTGTGTGTGTGTGTGTGTGTGCGCGCACACACACACATAAGTGATACATTGTATGTATTCCATGGTTATGTAGGTAATATGTTTTTTGGGTTCTTTTTGTAATATTGTAATTTTTGAATTTGTTTTCTAAATATTTTGTAAGCCACTTTGAGACCCGTTATTGGGAGAAAAGTGGGAAATGCAGTAAATAAAATGACTGGGTGGATGGGTGGTGAAGGACAGCATACAACTGAAGGCTGCATTGAGCAACAGGAAAACATATAATTTAATCACCATTATGCTCAAAAGAACTTCTCATAACCCCATCTCTTCCTGTTAAGAGCTAACTCCCATTTTACTCTAAGTTTTGTTGAAAAAGTATTGCTTAGTTTATACACTGTTCCTCATCTACCCTCCAATTTATAACATATAAATTTACTGGGTTAATTGTCCTCTTGGTCTCAACTGGAGGAGGCCCACTGAATCAAAAGAGCTGTCAAGTGTAAATCTGACTGATTGAATTAGTCTGCTCTAGTTGGAACTAACAATTGGATTTAGCCTATTACTTTTTTACATAAAACTTCCAATCGTGTATTTATAAAAATTGTTTATTCAATAACCAAACAGCCAGCAGCATCATACAGATATTCCCCAAAGCAATATACTAATCATAATTACGTACCTCCTTTTCTTCAAACCCAAATACACCAACAGGTGAATCATTTGGTGACACAGTGATTGTGACCTGGACATCCTCTCCTAACCTAGCACCATCTGTCACCCTCAGTAAGGTGACATTGAACATCTCCAGAAATTCAACAATGTCATCATCTATTATTGTGATTTCTATTGCTCCTGCCTCCTGGAAGAAAAAAAAACCCAGCAAGTTCAATGATGGCTGTGAAGTACATTGTTCTGATTAGCATCTGTAAGTGCAAGAAACTTTGATAGCTTAACAGACTGAGTAAAACACGCATACAACAGATTGTAATCTCAGGCAGACACATCAACTGGACAAAAATTTGCTCATCACAATATGATTGGCAACATGGAGTCCAAAATACTTGCTTCATGTCAATATGTTCTGAATATCTGCACAAAAGAATAAGTGTGAGCAGGTTAGGACACTGTCTGAAATACTTTTCTATTTTTTTAATGCAGTTTCTTTTCTTTTGGCATTGACAATAATCTCCTGCTTCCAGAGCAGTGATAATGCAGTCCAGAGGGTATGCACCTTATTGCCCTAAGTGTGTGTTGTTTTGTTTGACAGTTTCAGACATGTTAACCAACAGGAACTGGTTATTTCCCATATGCGCTGTGTGAGCACATGAAGACAAGGATGAGTAGTACAAGATAAATGTTTTAAGTGGTTGGTTTGTTCTTCATTTGGTTACTAGAGTATGGCTGCTGTTCTCTGTGTGTTTTCTTCACTTCTACATGCAGTAACATTCAGGAGATTTTCTATAGGGAAATGTACGTTAAAAGCATAGATCTTGCTGCATATCCTTATTCTCTGATTAGTAAGTGGACCTTCTGAGTACCAGCTTTTGTATTGTGGTGCTGTGTGATACTTACCTTTGAGGGGGGATGGTCACATTGAACTGATCTATATTTTAGAAGCTTATTCCAGAATACTTAAGTCGTTTTACTAGATCTGTAGATGAGTAATTTTTTTTCTTTGCTGTGCTGTTTCTCAAACTGACAAACAAGGCATCTGTTGATTTTTCTTAGTAATATATGAAGTATAACCAAACGTTTCTGTGGGAGTTGGATCTTAAGGATCTTCCCATCAAAGCCATGATAAAATGGCATGGGGGAATCATTCTTAGGCTTAGCAGGAGTTAACAAATATGAGATTGAGTGGATTCCTTTATCCTCTTCCTTTTCTCCTTCAATTCATTCTTTTAAAAAAAAATTCTGTTGCTTCCATATATTGCTCTGCAGACCCTCTAGTCATAAATAACATTTTCCTGGCTTTTCAGGGTTCCTCTAATTAAAAGCATTTGGGGGGAAAATACTAAAGGCATTTCAAATACATAATTTAATTTAGAGTGGTGGGAAGGATGGAGTCTGAAGTGATCATATAAAGACTCAGACTTTATAATGATCAAACAGATGCTGCTAAATGTGATGATAAACAGCAGGGATGCATTCAGGTGAAGGGGGATAGGGAGGGAGAAGAAAATAGTCTTCCTCCAAAAACATTGGTTACTATAGTCTCTATATAATTGTTACAATGTATTTGATGTGTCATAAAGTTTTAACAGATTTTCCAATCTTTTTTCTTCTGGTAGCTGTCAGACAATTGGTGGGAAAAGGTGGTGACGCTTGGATACAGAAACATTGGCAGTGAAATCTATGGGAGATCAGGTCTGAATCGGATTTAGATGTGCATATGTGAATAATCATAACAAAAAAGTGATTTATTTTAAAGCAGATACCTGGTTTTGTGAAAGTTTGCTTTTACTGATGATTTCAGGGGCTACTCTCTTCCTCCACTTCTGTTTCTTATTACTACTTAGACTGAAATGCCCTGTTTTGTACAGATGCCAGGTTAATGAACCCTCAGCAACTGTCTTCACAATTAGAAGTGTGTTTCTCTTTGTGCGAGAGAAAGTGCAATAGTGTATATGTAAGAAAATACCTTCCTGGATGAATATATATGTGCACAACTGTGAGTAAGAAATACTTACATGAGTATGTATGTGTGTAAATGTTTGCTTATGTGTAAGAGAAAACAATAGCATATATGAAAGAGAAAGTCTCCGTAACTGTGGCCATTATTACATGTCCATTTAATCTTATACTGTATTTCATTGGTTTAATGAGTTTCAAATCAATTTACAATTATCAGTCTACATGACATACAGCTAAGCACACATTTTGGGGGCATTGTCCAGGGTCTTTTGGCCAGAAATCATGCTGTTTTAGGCATTGTTTATTTTGCATCTATTCTCATCTCACATTTAAAAAAATCATTTTGACATTTGTGAACACTTATGTGAGTGTAAATTGTGTCTGTTTTTGTGGGGGTTGTCTAATGTTGGCTGCCAGGATGACAGGTTTCTTAACAAGAAAGAATTATTTTTTTTCATCTGCTTTTATTTTTTTTAGCACTGCATTGACAGGCCACTTCAAAACTAAAAAAAAATTAAAAATCCAGCCCGCTCATAGCTTTTCTAGTGTTGGCTGTTGATCCTGCTTTGAGCACTGGCCACTTCAAGGCTGCTGCTACTCACTCACTCACTCCCTGCCAGGATTTTAAAGTCTGTTTGTGTAACCCTTTTTGATGAGTGGCTCTCTGTGCTGAGAAGGAAGCACTGTATGTGTGTTTTCCCACTTTCACAGGCAAAGAAAAACAAGGGGAAAGAAGGAGGGAACTTGAGGAACTTGTCAACTCCCCAGCTGACTCCTGGTGTACTAGCTTCTTTAACAGAGAGGATAAAAGGGAGAGAAGCATGAAGGCAGGCTAAGCAAGAACAACCCGCCTGAGGATTGAAAGGGTAAGCAATGAAAGGGAGTGCTTTATGAAGAAAAGGAGTCCAGATAACAACAACAATAATAAAACAGATTAAAGGTTTTCCCAACAGAAAGAAGCATGAAGGCAGGCTAAGCAAGAACATCCCGCCTGAGGATTGAAAGGATAAGCAATGAAAGGGAGTGATTTATGAAGAAAAGGAGTCCAGATAACAACAACAATAATAAAACAGATTAAAGGTTTTCCCAACAGAATGCATACATCAACCCAAAAACCATGTGACACATGACTTAAAACCAATTCAGAATGTAGTGGAGCTGAAACTGACACAAATCAGCACTGCAACTACTGTATATGTCTGTGTATGGATGTGTGCACTTAGGAGAACACCAATGTGCATTTGAGTAACACAGAGAAAAACCTTGCATGCAAGTACTTGGCTGCTCTACCAAGTACAAAGGGCTTCATCTTTCATTGCCAAAAACTGACTCGGGGGTGTGTGTGTGTCTTCCTAGCTCTCTAGAGCAGACTTTGGAAATAATCCCCTCCAGGTTCAGTGTTCCATCAGTGGAATTAATTTGTTGGATGCTAGCCAATCAAATTTGCTTCTGATTAACATATACAGGATTGTGCTATTGTTTTTTTTAAAGGTCATAAAGGTAGACATAATATCTGATGTGGTTTCACATGATTAATTACAATTGTCATGTGAGGAACATGGCTGTGGAAATAAAGAAAATTGAGGCATGCAAGATGACCTAAAACAGCTGTGAACGTTTGCATCTGTATACTGCATACTTGTCCATCAGCAAAGGAAAGGTTTCCAAATGATGGTGTAAAGTCTTCCAGGCTAGCAGTGATAGGTGTGGCTTCCCAGTATAAATTTACTGATCCAAATTTTCCTCCTTTACGGACAACTGGTAACTTTATAACACTATCAGGAAAAGGCAACTCATAACCAGCCACTGTTCCACTCATATCCTGGAAAGAAACAATATTAAATTAACACTTGAACGTATTGCATGAAACACAATAATAGGAGAAAACACAAAAAAGGGAGAAAACAGAGCTATACATATTTCCAGGTGCTAGAAACATCTGTTTAGACACTTCTTATACACCAGTCAATTCAACAACATTATTTTAGTTCTACATTCATATGATCCAAAGAATACAAACATATGGTGATTGTTCCTACGCTGGAAGCATTCAAGAGAAAATTAGACAACCATCTGTCAGATCTGTTTTTATTTGGATCCCTGCACTGAACAAGGGTTTGGACTCCATTGCCTTATCGGCCCCTTGCAACTCAATTATTCTATGATTCTATATCCTGCAACCAATCTGAACATCTTGTACAGATTTTTAGTGACTGAATGTCTAGGAGAAATTTTGAAATGAGAAGCTTTGCACTTTTATTTCTTCCAAATCTGCCTTAGTGTGTAACATTTTAATTCATTTTATTATTTTAATAATTTTAATATTAATTCATTTAATATCTGAATAGCTAACAGTTTTTAGCTCTTATATCGTGTTTTAACTATGTAAGTTACCTTGGTTTCTTTCTTAAGACAAAGGTGGGCTAAACAATATTTTTTAAATAAATAAATAAAATAAAAACAGAAATTTTGAAATATTAAAATATACCAGCCCTACTAATCACACCCAGAGCAACACATGAGCTGGGAATGAGGAAGCAATGGCTAGCCTACCCCTAAAATCACATAAACAGATTTGCACTGCCCCTTCATGACCACATATACACAGGAAAGCTTCTGTTTCTTCTAGAACCCCAAGGGTGTAAGGTCTCCAGCTGTACAGTAGCCCCTGCATATACATCTAGGATATCGGTTTGACCCTTTCTTTTTTAAGTGTGAATCTGGACCCTGAGTTGAAACAGAGAGCATCTGTTCACCTCTTAGGGTAACTTCTCATCCCCACTGCTTGAGTCCATTACCTTTGTCCATTCCATAGTCCTGACCTTTGGTGATCCTATCCTGACCTCTCAGAACATCACCTTATTGTCTTAGAATCACAGAATAACTGAGTTGGAAAGGCCTATGCCAATGCAGGAATCCAAATCAAACCAGATTTGGCAGATGGTTGTCCAATTTTCTCTTAAATGCCTTGGGAGCTCTCGCCACCTCCTGAGGTAATTGATTCCACTGTCATACTGCTAAGTTAAGATGTTTTTCCTGATTTTCAGCTTAAATCTGGCTTCCTGTAGCTTCAGCCCATTATTACACATCCCACATTCTGGGATGATTGAGAACAGATCCTGCCCCTGATCTGCACGACTACCTTTCAAGTATCTGAAGAGTACTATCAAATCTCCCTTCAGTCATTTTTTTCCTCAAAGCTAAACTTCCTCAGTTCTATCAGTCTTTCCTTATTAGGCTTTGTTTCCGGTCCCCTGATCATCCTTACTGCACTTCTCTGAATTTGCTTCCGTTTGTTGCCATCCTTCTTAAAGTGTGATGTCCAGAACTGGGCACAGTACTCTTAATAAGGCCTAACCAGTGCTGAACAGAGGGGAACTAGTACCACATGGGATTTGGAGATTATACATCTGTTAATGCACCCCAAAATAGCATTGGCCTTTTTTGCAGCTACTGTATATTGCACTGTTAGTTCATATTCAGCTTGTGATCTGCAACAATTCCAAGATCTTTCTCATTTGTAGTATTACTGGACCATGTATTTCCCATCTTGTAACTGTGCATATGTTTTTTTTCCCTAGGTGTAGAACTTTACACCTCTTTCTGTTAATTTTATTCTGTTGTTTTCAGCCCAGTGCTCAAGCCTATCAAGATCTTTTTGAATGTTCCTCCTGTCTTCCAAGGTATTAGCTATTCCATCCAGTTTTGTTACATACACAAATCTGGTAAGTATTCGCTACACTCCCTCTTCCAAGTCATTAATAAAAATGTTGAAGAGCCAGGACTGAGTCTTGTGATACCCCACTTATTACCTCCTCCCCGTTTGAGAAAGAGCCATTTATAAGCATTCTCTGAGTATGATTCTGTAACCGAATGTGTATCCACCTGACAGCTGTTTTATCCAGTCCACAAACAGTTGGTTGCTAATCAAAGTATCGTGGGGCAGTCTGTCAAAGGCTTTTACTGAAGTCAAGATATATTACATCTACACTGAATTCCCACCATCTGCTCAGAAGATTACTCAATAAAAAATGAGGTAAGGTTAGTTTGGAAGGATTTGTTCTTGGCAAATCCATGTTGGTTTCTAGTTATTACTGTTTTCAAGGTGCTTGCAGAGTGACAGCTTTATCATCTGCTCCAGAATTTTCCCAGGGATTGATGATATTAGACTAACTCATCTGTAGTTCCCCAGTTTCTCTATTTTCTCCTTTTAGACGATTGGCAACATCAGCCCTCCTCCAATCATCCAACACTTCACCCATCCTCCATTATTTCAAGAAAACAATGAACCATAATATCATCTTATCACTCCCCATAGAGGCTAGCCAAGTAAAAGAGTGAAGAAATTTTGCAGCACCAAAAGTTCTTATTTGGCCTAAAACCTCCTCTGGTCATTCTGTAATAAAGGACAATATACAATACTGGCTTTCAGAAATGAATAAAAACAAGAGGGACCAGTTCCTTGCTGATCTTACTCAACTTAGAAAGGTGCACAAAGACTGTAAAAAAAGAACCATAGCTCTGATAGAAAGGTGAAGACTTCATGGTTAACCAGGGACTTCCCAGATTAAAACACAAAGGGGTTCCATGCACAGGTGAAAAGTGTCTGTGTATCTTATTTTGTTAAGCTAATGGTCCAATGGTTAAGATAATGGGCCAAATGAGCTCTCTGTCTCTTAAACAGCCAATATTAGATTTTTGGGCCAATAGAAGAATCACATTTGGCATTGACATTTTCTAGTTTGTTCTCACCTTGGTGACATTGAAATAAAATATTCCTCTGGGATCGTCATTCTCTTCGATTATTATCTCAGCTATTTCTAAACCAAGTCTCTTCACAGTTGGCTGCCCTCCAGTAAGAGAAGAGTCCAGCAATTTCACACTGGTTATATTAATTACAAATCTTTCCTGTAATTCTGGAACAATATCCTGTGGAAATAGTGTTTTCAAATGCATTTTCAGATTCGACTTGTAATTTTGGTACTCTTTCTAGAGTAATTACTTTACACTCTGACTGAAGAAAGTTGATAAATTGAATAATGGGAAATAAAACTGTTAAACAGAGTTACAACAAAGTTTTTGAGGTCTTTTGTTGAGAAAAATCTTATTCTAGCGGGAAATCAATTTGCCATTATTTTTAAAATAGTGAATGAAAGGATTAAAAAGGACTTTGATTATTTAAACACTATTATTATAATTAGCTAAAGAGAAAAATAAAATAAATGGGATAAATGATTAGATTATTCAGCACCAACCCTGATGTAGTATAACATCCTTCCAGAAGGCCAAATTTCTTCTCGCTATTATTAAATTATTTTATTAGTAGTCTATGGTTTCTGTTAAGTTGAATTTAACCAGAGAATGACAATATGCTGGAGACTGGATAGTAGAAAATTGATCTGATTATGTTTGATGGAACTCTTTGTTTATAAATTACTGTTCAAAGAAAGTTGCTTCTATAACTTCTATTAAATTATACAATAGCTTTACATCTTTTAATAATCACATTAGGACATATTTATGATCACATCATTCCAAAGAAGAGGGGATGTATAAGGAATCTGTTAAAACCAGCTAAAATAATGGTCTTATAGAGATGACAAAATACTTTACCAGAATGTTTCATATATGTGTACATAGGAATGGAGAAGACTACACACAGAGATTTGCTGATTCCAGATGAGGTACACAGCTTGTGCCCCAAAGATATTGCTGGATCAGACAAAAAAAAAATTCTAAATGGTGATACATATCCCACTTTTACACAATCATTTATATTGATCAGAAAAATGACATTGCTGGATCAGACATTGCTGGATCAGACCAAAAAATATTCTAAATGGTGATACATATCCCACTTTTACAGAATCATTTATATTGATCAGAAAAATGCATGCAGCATTAACAAATTATGAAGAAGCAGAGCATATCTTTTCAAATACTCACTGGCAAAATGATCACAGTTACCAAAGTTGTTGTTGTGTTCTCTGCCATAAAAACAGTTTTGTTCTCCAGTCTGTAATCCTCATTTTCTATAGCTTGGTTGACAAGAGGGAGTGTAAAAACAGGCTGGGCTATCAACTGTATACTGATATCTCCAACAAATCCTTGTTCTCTGAGAACATGCAAAGTAACAATAGTTGATTGATCTGAAAAGATTGATTAAAAAATTTGTAAGGTCATTTTCTAACATGACTATAATATAATTTCTGAAACAGTTGATTTGGGGTCATCTACTTCAGTGACCCATACTTCTCAGGTTATAAATGTCCTGAAACAACCATGGGCCAAATCTGAGGTTAATCATACTTTTAAAATCCTCAAGATAGGGATGCATACTAAATTCCTTGTTCTCATTGATATCCTCAAGCTCCATAATATTCCTTGCTTTTAGGTGAGAATAAATCAAGGAATGCTATGTTTTTCTTATTGTCTCCAAGGTGGAAACTGTCTCCCCATTAAAGTACAGTAGTATCTTTTCACTTGGAGAAGCATAATGCACATACAAAAGAAAGACAGACTGGCAGATTGTAATAACAGACACCGACAATGCCTCACTCTGATCATTCTAATTCATAAAAGATCCTGCAACAAAGCACCTGGTATTCTGTCTCTCTCTCTCTTTCTTTCATGGAATTCATGCACTTTCAATGATTAGCAAAAGAGAGCCCTTAAACACCAATGATTTATGTTAACAAAAGATGAGTACAGGACATTTTCATTTCATGTTTTTCCACTTCATGTAACTCCTTGGTGCCCTTTCCCCCTTTGTTAAATTTCATGAGTATTATATGAGAATTATTTCATCCACTAGCATTGTGAGGGTTATCAGCAACCAAGGAGATCATTTGGAGTGAGTGAGAATTCTGAATGTATAAAAATAGCATGCTCTTTGTTTCCGCCGTCTACGTTGGCTTGGGCACGTCGTGAGAATGGCTGATGGTCGGATTCCAAAAGATCTCCTGTATGGAGAATTAGTGCAGGGAAGCCGCCCCAGAGGGAGACCACAGCTGCGTTACAAGGACATCTGCAAGCGGGATCTGAAGGCCTTAGGAATGGACCTCAACAGATGGGAAACCTTGACGTCTGAGCGTTCAGCCTGGAGGCAGGCGGTGCATCATGGCCTCTCCCAATTTGAAGAGACCCTTGCCCAGCAGGCCGAGGCAAAGAGGCAGCCCCAAAACAAGCAAAACCAGGGAGCTGGACAGGGGACAGATTGGATTTGTCTCCAGTGTGGAAGGGATTGTCACTCTCGAATTGGCCTTCTCAGCCACACAAGACACTGTTCCAAGACCTCCATACAGAGCACGATACCATAGTCTCTTGAGACTGAAGGATGCCTACTAGCTCTTTGTTTCCATCATTCCTTGCACAGTTATTGTGTGCTAAGCTCCTAGTGTCCCCGCCCCACTGGACTGCTACCTGCCTGTCCCTGCTGTGCCTGCATTTTGTATCCCCTCCTCCCCCTGCCATTTTTTTTTTCTTGGGTGGAGGGTGTTCCATTTCTGTGGAATGCCAGAGAGTTTGCTTGTGCCAGTGTGCCTCCTTGAGGCTATTTTAAAAACTATATTCTCATCTCCCTGATTTCTTTGGAGAGTTCTTTCCTTGTGTGTGTGTTTTGTTATGTTGTGTTGTTTTTGCCCTTGCTTGGATTATTTTTGTTGTTGCCTGGCCTGCTTGCTGCTGCCTACTGAACTCAAAGTAGAGAACCGAAAGCGCCAGGCAGTATGGGAGAGAAACATCTTCTCACATTCCAGTACTTTGAGGCTTTGATTGTATTTTTTTGTAACTTTCTTTGTTTGGCTTTTCAGGGACGGTTTTTAAATTTTGCAGTTTTTTCTCTGCGTATGTGGCAGATTGCTTTCCCTGTTCAACTGATTTTTTACAAAATTATTACTTGGCTAGTTCAATGTGCATTTATCTTGTTAATAGTTTCAAGGGTTGTGAACTATTTTGCTTGCTTCTGTGTAAGGTTGTAGGCCAGGGTGGCAGACTTTGTGATTGTCAATGTTCCACTTGGCTGTATAATTTGTAGTTGCTGTTGGTTGGGCACAGATTGTTGCCTTTGCTTCGAAACTCTGTATTGCATCTGTAGATGTATGGGAGATTGATGGGTGCGGGGAGGATGTGGGACAGGACTTACATACTTTCCCATATTCCTACTGCCCACTAATTCAGGTTTAATGTCTTAACAGGACTTTAGAGATTTCCATATTCTGAAACCATTTTGTAATAGTATCCCTGGTCCTTACATTTAGATATGTTGGCATCATACCACGTTTGGGCATATATGACTATTTAAAAATGTGTATTCCATTCTTCTTACTTCAGTTGCCCTCAGGTTGGAACATTCAACACTTAAGACGCTTGTGCCTGATCGTTTTTGCTCCATCTTTTCTAGATGGAGACAATCTAGCTCTCACATGAAGCAATGTGTTTTTATAACTAACACAGAAATTCATTTTTTATAAATGTCCAATCATTTTCTAAATTACCTGGGAATCCTAATATTAGTAAAATGATATGCCCCAAATTGGAAAATAAATTTTATTTGGAAGAAATTAAAAGGCTGGGACAATTTGGTTAAGAATTGCTCTGTACCTTCCCCAGATCAGTAATATTCAAACTATTGTAAAATATACAATTTTCATTTCAGTTGTGATTATAGTGTCTGTGAAGGGAACATGTAAGCATGTAGAATTTAGTAAAAGAAACCTGAATGTAGTTTTTGTTTAAAATTTGTATGACACCCCTTAAAACAATACCGACTTTTGTTCCTTTGTTGTTTCAGCAGGCTTCTTCATTATTTTGTCCTAAAGCCAGAGATTTCAGTCATGTCCTGACTCTCTAGATATTCTTTGCCCTGAAGCAAAACTAATTTATTGGAAGAGACATGAGTCATCGTTATTATGTTGGTTCAATTAGTCATAGGTGGCCATGTTTGACATTTGGTACTTTAAGCTCTGAGAAAATGAAAGGGTACAAAGAAATGCAAATTCCAACTGCTGTTGGCTGAGTCACTGCATCAGAGGACAATGCTCCTTATATAAATTTAATAGGAATTTTGGAACTTAAGAGAATACAATGATACTGATAGGACTGGCAAAGACAGAAAAATAAAAGGAAAGGTGTAAGGTAAGTAACAGCAAAAATACACGCAGTATTCCTTTTGTTTAAAATTATGGACTGTACATTCTTGCTTGAACTTCCGTGAATAATCTTTCTGTTAGAAATGTGCACAACAAAAATCTTCACATCACTTTTGTTTCAGGTTCTTTCAGAGATACCTCTTTCATTTTTGTATTTTTATATATCGATCTTTCTTTTTTACACAAAAGGGAAATCTTTACTTGGGTATCCAATTCATGTTTCCCAGTTCTTATTGGAAATACTTTTGTTCTCTTTCCTTCTGCTGAGGAGGAGAGAATTGACTTACCTTCTGGTTCTGCCACTTTCACTAGGAGAGAATCTGCATGCCATCCCACAACACCATAAGGTGAGTCATTGGGCAAAATTCTAAGTATAGCTTTTGCTCTGTTTTGGTCAATGGTGGCTCCTTTCCTGGGATCCTGAATTCCAACAGTGCTTATATGAGTGAGAGTTATAACCACTGTCTCTGCAACTTCAGGAACAACATCGGCAAGGACTGTTAAGGTGATAGTGGACAAGACTTGACCTTCTGAGAATGTTGTCTAAATATTATGAAGAGAAATATAATGGAATATATATATATATATACATTTTTTAGTAACAGGTAGGGTAGCACAATGATTTAGGACACAATCTTTCATTTTAAAACACATTCAAATCATGCAGCATGAATAAATGTACATATTTACTATATCCTTGAGGAACTAAAAAGGGAAAGGCATCAACAAAGCCAGCAAACATATTGAGCATAACTGTAAATCTAATTTAATTATAAAACAGGACATTTATTGATCTTCAGTAGAAGCGAGAATATTTTAAATACTAGAGTGCCTAGAGTGATCGCATAGACCAGATGGGCAGGATACAAATCAAATAAATAAATTAAATTAAATACTGGAGACAACACATTACAGTGTTAGTTGTCTTGACATGAACAATTGAATACAACTCAACTAAGGAAGGGCCTCGTGGCGCAGTGGTTAAAATGCTGTATTGAAGCTAAAACTGTGCTCACGACCTGGGGTTCAAATGTTAGTTGTCTTGACATGAACAATTGAATATGACTCAACTAAAATGTTGTATATGCATCTTCAGCACAATTTTTTTAAAAAAACCTCAGCACTTTTTTTTAGATTTTAAATTATTTAAAAATAATCGTAAATATGAATCTTCAGCACAATTTTTTAAAAAAAAACTCAGCACTTTTTTTAGATTTTAAATTTTTAAAAAATAATGGTAATTACCTTCAGCTAGCAGGAAATAGTATGCACATTAATTGAGCATTGTACTTCATGGTGGTTGGAAAGAAGTAAAGGGTCGTAAGTGAAAACCCCTGTGCTCTTCCCAAACTTGATCTCACACTATTTAAAGGCCTCTACTGACAATAAATGTTAGCTTTTCAGAAGTGCAGGAAGTGCCTCAGTGAGAAGGCAGACCAGTATGTTCTGTCACATAAGTAGAATTTCACTTAGATCTCCCTGGATATTTATAATTTAATGTTAATTCTGTGATCTGATCAAAGCTGCTGTTTCAAACACTTTAGTCAGATAGGAAATTGATATTGTCTTGGATTCAGTAGTCTGGGTGTGCACATAGAAACGGAGATCTATGATTTATGTCAATTTTTCTTTCCCACTGTTTCTTGCTGTCACATCCCCTGACATGTAGGATCCTTGAACCACAAATTATCATTATATTGGAATAATAATAGCAAACAATGTAATGTAATATTCTTAATTATTGTCATGTTAAATGATTATGGTTTAATAAATTATGGTTTTAAAATTAATACCCTATTTTCTTTTCCTTTTCACAAGCATTTTAAGAAAATTAAATAAAATATTATCTAAAACAGAAGTGGCTCTTGTAGAGGACATGGGGCTAAAGCAAAACAGTAGGAGGAAATACCTTTGTGTAAGCAGAATTATATATCTCATCATTCGTTGTATTATAAAACAGTATGTGAGCGATTCTTGTCAGTTAGCACATGTTTCTCAGTGCTTAGATATACACATTATTACTAACTACATTAGTAATGCAATAATAATTAACTATATTTCTAATGCTATTGGTATGCTATTACTAATATCAATGAATTTCTGGAAATAATATTTTTCTGTCAAAACACATACCACTCCTGAAGCTGGAAATATATCATTAATGCTCCCAGTGGCCTCCCACTGTACTGTGACTCGCCCATAGCTACTTATTAGGCGTTCAATATTCAAGGTGATCAAGGTGTCACGCTCCAGTTCTTCTACATGTTTAAACAAAGATTTCTGAAAAAGTAAAAATAAGTTAGGAAAATATTTAAGTATTTTAACTGCTATGCATACAAATATTACAAAAAAATCTAAGGAATGCTCCTAATGGAGAAACTGGGTTCCCCGTTCTCAAGTCAATACATAAGCAATTGGATGCAAAAAATTAGCCTGATATTTTTCAGAGATTCTCCCCACTTTTCATGGACCCATTATAGACTAGCAGTAAGACTGGCAGATTCAGACTAGAAATATCTGGAATGATTCTTGATGAACAATGAAACCACTGGCAACCTTTGGACTGTCTTTACCTCCTTCCTTCACAATTTGGTCAGGACACTGTAACCTCCTTCAAGAAAGGATGGGGTACAGAGGTGCTAAATAAAATGATTGATACTTTCACTGACAAACCTAACTTAATGTTATATCACCTTCCAGTGTAAGATAAATTAATGATCCGGTGGAAACTTTTAACTTCCACTGAATAATATCATGAGATAGTTTGTTAAAATAGGCTCCTTAGATCTGCTTTTCTGTAGCTTTCAACCTATTCAATTCATTCATAAAAAATGGATATAAATAATTCTACATCAGATTAAGACACTTCACATGTTCTGATAACCACCTACTGGAAATGTATTATAATAAAACACAATATTACGTACCTGAGCAAATCCAATTATCCCATGAGCATCATCATTAGATGGTATAATTATGGTTACATAGCCATTAGCACCAATTTCTGCACCGCCCTTTGGATTTTTCAGAGATACTCTAAAAAATTCTTCTTCCTCTGGGACTGCATCATCAAAGATATTGACTGCTATCACTGATTCTTTGTCTCCTGGTTCAAATATCAGTTCACCTGAACTAGCATAAATGTACAGCATAATTATAATTAAAGGATAACTTTTCCACAACAAAAATATTGGAAGTCATGTATCTGTGATTAAAAAATGTATCATGCTGCCAAACGGTTAAGGGGGTTACATCTGGCACAAAAGGTTTCCGTTAAATTTTTGTTTTCACTTAATATTGAAAGTAATATGGTGGATGAAATCCAGCTTTATTTATTCATTCATTTATTTCAGACATTTTTATACCACCCGACTTACTGACGTGCACTGTTTCTGGGGAGTAAACAATGTATGAACTACCCAAAACCACCACTGAGACCAAACAAAAGCCCAAAATACACAACAATAAAAACCAAAATTATAAACCAAAACCCCAATAGATAATTCCAAACAAACTATGGCAGTGTAGTATGAATCTAGATACGACAGCTATCTCAGGGGATGAAAGAACGCTTTCTTAAACAGTTCTGACTCAAGCATCTTTTTGAATGTAGAGAGGAGGTCTGATGACTCTCTAATGGGAGTCTATTCCATAAAGATAGAACTACAACTGAGAAAGGTCCACTCCAACTGGAGACCTTCTTCAACTCTCTTGGCATGATCACCAGTAGGAGTTGGGCCTGGGAGGACCAGGGAGGACAAGCAGAGGTTTTTTTGAGGGAGATTCTCAGACAGATAATGAGGCCCCAAACTGTTAAGGGCTTTGTATGTTAGTACCAAAACCTTGAATCCAGCTTGGAAAAGAACAGGAAGCCAACAAAGGTGAGCCATGACTGGTGAAATATGGTTGAACCCATTCATGCCAGAGATCAGACTGGCCACCATATTCTCCACCTTCTGCAGTCTCCCAGTCAGCTTCAAGGGAAACACCATGTAGTTGATCTTTGAGATCACCAGTATGTGAACCATTATAGTCAATTATTTTAGCTGATATCCACTCATCCAGCAAGACCTTCACCTACCTCCCTGCCTCTCCATTTCACCCTGTCTCTCCCCTCTTCTGGAGCAGATCTTGTTGAACAGTTCCTGGGGGAGAGGGAATGTTCTACTCTTTGGTCCACAAGTGGAGTGATTTTGTTGGTGGGAAGAGTTATTTAGATCCCATTCATTACATATGTCCAATTCAAGCAAGTAGTTCTTTTTTTTCATTTGCACTCAACTTAGCCTGAGGCAGTGGCCAAGATCTTTAGTATTTGTATATGGTTTGCAATTCTTGTCATTGATAATTGTGGATGATTGACAAAATGCCAAGGCATGTTTTGGTCATGGACCTGGTCACAAACCTGGTCGTACAATCAAGATGCACCTTGGCACATCATCAATCAGACACATTTTAGCTTCTGCAAAAGATGCAAAGGTTACTCAAACACCAATGGGATTCTGCTACTGTGTGTGAATTCCTTTGAACCCAAGGACTGAGAAAGAACACAGGTATCACCCTGAGCAAGTCACCAGTTTTTTTATAAACCCTAAACTATAGGTAACTTGCATTGTTCTCACGTTGTGCCACCTCCAATAAAAACAGTCTAAAAATCCATGCAGTCTTTTACTTTTCAAACTCGTTTCTTTACTAGAAAGTTGAAAAGTTAAAAGTGATGTACTGGCAGGATTGTATTAAGATTTCAAGAAATGGCAGGAAAAGAAAAAACAAGAAGGCAACATATATGACGTTATTTCAGAAGCTATAATCAATGCAAAATGTTATGATAAAGAGAGCTCTCTGTATCTGCACATAAACCAACAAATAAAATCAGGAACATACCTAGGTATGAAATCTGACTGGTTGGAGATTGCAGTCAACTCATAAACATAAGAGTATGAATCGCCAGTCAGAACAATTAGACTTTTGTTGGAATTAAGAGACCTTACATTGACAGTGGTGACATGATTGGCAGAAGGGGCTTCCAGCAGTGGGGAGAACTGATTTATTTCTGAGTTCCAAGAATAAAGAGCTGAGTTATCCTTGCTACCAAATAAAAGATGTGCTGCATTGAGAAAAAAAATAGAATAGCAGAATTTTAGCAAAAAAAATACAGAATATTTCTGTGGAAAGAAAAAAAAATTAATGACCTAGTTTTGTTTTTAAAGGCTGGAATCTTGCTGGTTCACACTTAAAGTCTATGTAACTTGCCACAGCTAATCATTGGCAAGGTGCTGGGGAACATGCTGGCTGTGCAAACAGATGCACATGACTGAGACATGCCCCAGCACATTATGAATTAGCCACAGCACATAATGCAAACCTTACACTAACACTGATAGGATTCCGGCAACACTTGTTATATCTAGATGTTTGCTTAACATTTACATGATTTTCATGTTTACTTTGCATATAGTCTACAGTTGTAAAGGACTGCTTAGTTTATCTCAAGATGTAGCTATAAACATCATTCACATGTGTTGCATCCTGCCATTTTTTTCTAATATTTGTATGCAATACTGACATTCGGTAAGAGGGAGAGCAGCTTCTGCCATATGTTCTACTATATTGTTTCTTTTTTTCTAAACTTTATGTCAATAGTCAATATACAGTACTATTTTTGTTTCAGTAGTCAGTTAGGCCATAAATGCTCTACAGATTACAAAGAAAGTAATAATAACAATAATAAAATAAAAACAAGTTAATTAATTATTCCTGTTAAATGCTATTCTTCAAATTACTTTTTAGGATTGGGTCTTTATAACTGCACATTGGCTCTTTGAAACTGCACATCGCATTGCCAGAAGACAGTTAGGACAGCTGAAGGATTTACCACATTGAATCTTAAATTAGACTTTACTACTACCTACTGAATTGTGCTATTTAACAAGAGTTGCTATCAAGCAGTTCCATTAGAATGTCCTTGGGGCATACTGTCCAAAAACAAAACAGAGTTTTACTGAACATTAGTGTTGTTTTAAAATAGTTAATTATTTTGTTTGCTATTACCCCCACCAAAATGAGGAAGAATTCTGTAAATTTTAAAATATCTTACAGAGTGACAATTTAACAGAGCCTATTGCTACCTTTTATTGATCATATTGCTATATTATTATTGCAAAGTTACTAGTATTCTTCTCAAATTGTTACAGTTACTATCCTAACAAAGAGTAAACAGTCATTGCCAGATAAACTCTTGGATCTCTGCACAGGGAGAAAAACAACAGTTTGTTTCACAATGCCTTTTCCACCACCATTCTTTCCTTCCAAGCCAAACCCATCCTCTGTGAGCCTTTTAAAGCTCAGACATATCTGGTGTCCAGAAAGCACACCAATCTGTGATTAAGAAGAGTAATTTCAATAGCTGTACTAATCATTCTGCATTTTGTTTTATCTTTCTCCTACATGGAAATGATATATGAGAAGGAAAAACAACATGTTATTCCTATATATGTGAAGCAGTCCTAAGAGGCCGGAGAGGGGAGGACTGGAAGGGCTTCATTCAAGTTTACCTAAACCAGAAGATGGGAGAAAGGTGTGCATTTCATTTACAGCTCTGGTGGACATGGACTGAAAATGTCTGAAGGAAGGTTCCCCTGTTTCCCATAAAAAAACATCGCATGTGTTGTTGGATCCTGTGAACAAAATGAGAATAAGAAGATGGAGCTTTTATAAACAATTAGTCATAATATCAGGCGATTATTTTATATAGTAGCTAACATTCTTATTTCATGTCTCTGTTTCCATAGAAATGGATGACTCTCAACATATTTCTGTGAACAGATCACATGCATATCAATACCTTTGGCAAAAATCAAGTAGATATCAGATCCAGAAATCAAGGTTTTGACTTTTGTTGTTCCACTGACTGACACTTCATGAAACTTTCTAAATTTCTCATCTGACCACTGATATAAAAGAGGAGGTTGTGTGGAGTCTGATGGAACAATCACAAGATAAATGGTGGATCCCCTGAAGAAAAGATCCATACTTAGAACTCCGTTCACAGAGAGATGATGATGGAATACAAACATCCCATTACTCCAGAGGAAAATCTGCAGAAAAGGAGAAAAATCCCATTAACAATGAAGACTGTAAAAGCATATGTCCGGTTACAATCACATTGTCATAACTATGATGTAACATGAAAAACCAAGATAACATCAAGCTTTATAAATCATACAAAGTTTGGATCCAACTGAATCATTTATGGGAATATCCAAATTACTATGTTGCTTCCACAACACACAAGTGGTATTTTGTAGACTGAAACAACCAGAGTGAAAAGCAGACTTTTTGGCTCCCAACTAGAGATCTGCATGAACTGTCAAATGGCCAACAGCTGAACATGTTTCTGTGATTCACTGCTCGACCCCCTTTGGTGGGCGCCCACTCAGAAGCAGCACCCCAGTTTCCCTGCCTCAACTCCTCTGCTGCCTCTGAGTGGGCACCTGCCAGAAAGGACAGGGTGGAAAACCACAGAGCACCTGCTTGGCCATCATCTGAACCAGAACGAACCACTGACCTGATGGTTTGTGGCCATCTCTACTTCCAACTCAAAACAACACAAGATAAAATCTATGTCAGAACAGCAGCTGCCCTCACACATACCCTCTAACATAATGTTAGGCTGTGGGATTTCTCTCTGCAAATGTAACAATAATTCTAGACTCGAAAATACAGGAATGAACAGGTGTACAGTATATCGCAGAAGTGAGTACACCCCCTCACATTTTATAAATATTTTAGTATATCTTTTCAAGTGACAACACTGAAGAAATTACACTTGGCTACAATGTAAAGCAGTTAGTACACAGCTTGAATAACAGTGTAAATGTGCTGTTCCCTCAAAATATCACAACACACAGCCATTAATGTCTAAACCATTGGCCACAAAAGTGAGTACACCCCTAACTGACAATGTCAAAATTGGGCCCAAGTAGCCGTTTTCCCTCCCTGGTGTCATGAGACCCGTTAGTGTCACAAGTCTCAGGTGTGAAGGGGGAGCAGATGTTATCGCTCTCCCTCTCTCAGACTGGTCACTGGAAGTTCCACATGGCATTTCATGGCAATGAACTATCTGAGGATCTGAAAAACTCAATTGTTGCTCTACATAAAGACTAGACTTTAAGAAGATAGTCAAAACCCTGAAACTGAGATGCAGCACAGTGGCCAAGACCATATAGAGGTTTAACAGGACATGTTCCACTCAGAACAGGCCTTGCCATGGATGACCAAAGAAGTTGAGTGCCCGTGTTCATCATCATATCCAGAGGTTGGCTTTGAGAAATAGATGTATGAGTGCTGCTAGCGTTGCTGCAGAAGTTGAAGGGGTGGGGGGTCAGACTGTCAGTGCTCAGACCACACGCCACATACTGCATCAAATTGGTTTGGTCTCCAGGACTGTCGTCTCAGAACAAAGCCTCTTCTAAAGATGATGCACAAGAAAGCCCGCATACGGTTTGCTGCTGACAAGCAGACTAAGGACATGGATTTCTGGAACCATGTCTGTGGTCTGATGAGACCAAGATAAACTTATTTCGTTCAGATGGTGTCAAGTGTGTGTGGCGACAACCGGGTGAGGAATACAAAGATAAGTGTGTCATGCCTACAGTCAAGCATGGTGGTGGGAGTGTCATGGTCTGGAGCTGCATGAGTGCTGCTGGCACTGGGAAGCTACAGTTCATTGAGGGAACCATGAATGCCAACATATACTGTGACATACTAAAGCATAGCATGATTCCCTCCCTTTGGAGACTAGGCCGCAGGGCAGTATTCCAAAATGATAACCACCCCAAACACACCTTCAAAATGACCACTTGCTTGCTAAAGAAGCAGAGGGTAAAGTTGATGGACTGGCCAAGCATGTGTCAGACCTAAACCCTATTGAGCATCTGTGGGGCATCCTGAAATGGAAGGTGGAGATGTGCAAGGTCTCTAACATCCACCAGCTCTGTGATGTCATCAAGGAGGAGTGGAAGAGGACTCTAGTGGCAACCTGTGAAGATCTGGTGAACTGTATGCCCAAGAGGATTAAGCAGTACTGGAAAATAAGGGTGGGCACCCAAAATATTGACACTTTGTGCCCAATTTGGACATTGTCACTTAGGGATGTACTCACTTTTGTTGCCAGTGGTTTAGACATGAATGGCTGTGTGATGCGTTATTTTGAGGGAACACATTTACACTGTTATACAAGCTGTATACTCACTACTTTACATTGTAACCAAGTGTCATTTCTTAAGTGGTGTCACATGAAAAGATGTAATAAAATATTTATGAAATGTGAGGGGGTGTATTCGCTTCTGTGATATACTGTATGTGTTCCCTTCTCACACACTTTACATATCTGAGTCACATCTCAACTGGGATTCAAGGCAGATTTACCATCAAGCTTTATCCAACATAAAGATTTAAATAATACTCAGTGTTTGCTGGATAGATGTTGCCACACAACATCAATTTACTTCCATTTTGATGTCTACACAAGCACTTTGGCTCAAAAGTCTCTCTTTTATTCTGGTGAGCCTAGCAACCTCAGATGAAACAGCTTTATCACATTCTGATGACATACTAATTGAGATTAAAAGTTATTCATTTTCTGTACCCGCCTTATTAGTTGGCTGGATAGCTCAGTGGTTTAGGAGGGGTTCAGAGTTCAATTCTCCACTGTGCCTCCTGGGAGAAGAGTCAGCCTATGTAGCCATGCAAAGTCCCAAGGCACCCCTCAGAAGAAGAGACTGGTGAACCACTTATGAATATTCTCGACCCAGAAAACTCTGGAAAGGATTGCTATAAATTGGAATCAACTTGATTCCAACTTATACAGTGGTGCCTCGACGTATGACCATAATCCGTTCCAGATGATGGACGTAACTCGAAATGGCCGTAAGTCGAAGCACCATTTCCCATAGGAATGCACTAAAACACAATTAATCTGTTCCGGCCAAAGAAAAAATGATCACTTATAAAGCCCTAAACGGTTTGGGACCTCAATATTTGGCAGATCGTCTTCTCCCACCCAGATCTACCCAGATCACCCGTCACAGCCAGCAGGGACGGCTGAGGGGTCTGACGCCGAGAG